TTATACTTTTAATTATATAACTTTGTAATTATACTGTAAATAAATTTTTAATAAAGACGCAAATAGCGTAAAGAGGTTAACCTCTAAAAAAAAAAAAAAAAAAAAAAAAAAAAGCAAAAGAGCTTACTTAGAAGTAGTTTTCAATAACAAAGATACCTAAAAATATTATAAATACGAAGGAATTAATCTGTTCAAACAAACCCTTTTTGGCTATATTCCTATTAATTTTAGCTACACTTTTCTCTTAGTTAAACTTAGAAATACTCTGATAGGAGATAAAGAAAAAACAAGTACTCTCATTATGGAAGCTTCTAGGATTTTGGTCTGATTATTTCAATTAAACCATTACTCTTTGAAGGAACTTCAGTCTGCTTAGACCAATAGATTATCTCTTTTGAAACAACAGATGATCTAGACTTGTCTTCAAGAATCTCTAGAAGCACTCACGTAAGAGATCATAAAGTCATTATGGACTAAAAAGAAGCTCCAAAAGTATATTATTACTGTAAAAAGGAGGGACATGTTAAAAAAGACTATGAAGATCTTAAACTCTCAATTGAAATGAAACGTGCTCAAAAAGAAAGAAGAACACAAAAAAACAAACCTAGCTCAAACTCAACTTCAGAATTTAGCAAAGATAATCCTTATATCTCTAACTCTGCAGAAAATACTGAAAAGTCTAATGACTCAGCAACACCAGAAAGCACCTCTACTCCCCTAGCTAACTTGAACCAATCTTCCTCAAGGTTACTTGAAAAAAACTCAGTTCAAAATAATTAAGAAAATAACTTAGAAATCCAAGAGCAAATGATTATTAAATCCTCTTCCTCCACTTCTCTAAAAGTAGTAAATGAGAACTCAAATACTAAGCAAGACTTAGATTCTATAGAAATTAATGCAAATAGTGACTCAAAAGAGGAACCTTTCACTATTGCCATCTTAAAGAAATTCAGAAAAATAATCAAAGTCATCCTAAATCAACTGGATCACTAAGAAAAAGAGACCTCTCTTCTGACAATGAAATGAAAAGCAAATGCTATCAGGAGTATTAAAATACTCAGAAGTACCAAATCTCTTTAAATACTCTCTAATATGAGCAAAATCAAAATAGCAACTCTAAATGTCAAAGGCTTAAACAATAAGTCTAAAGCACAAAAAACACTTACTCTTTTAAAGTCATATAAACTAGATATTATTTTCCTGCAAGAAACAAATCTAACAGATACTGCAACTAGAATTTTTTATCATAATAATGGAACTACAACTCATTTTGGTCTTCCAAAATAGCTATTCTAGCTAGAAACAAAAAAATCTAATTCTCTAACTCTTAAGAGTTTTTAGATAGACATATACTTCAAACAAGAACCTTATTTTGACACCACAACTATTTTATTACCAATATCTATGCTCTTCTAAGACAAGATGAAAGAAGAAATTTTCTCAATAACTGGATACCAGCAAGAGACGAGGATGCAGTGAACATTATTACTAGTGATTTTAATGTTAATATTAACTCAGACAAAAATTGAATTAGTCAGGCTTCTTTCCAAAAAGATCTCTCCTGTAATTTGTTAAAATCTCTTATAGCAGATTTTATCAATACTACAGAGTTTGCCAAATCTGAGCTTTTTCTAACATTTTACTAGACTACTCAAGGTAATCAAAAAATGGCTACACAGCTAGATTATATATTTATTGACTCAAATCATAGCCAATTCTGCAAGAATACTTGCACTCATTTTGGAAACTCTGATCACCTTCTTGTTGAAAGCAAACTAGCTTTAACTCAGAACCTATACATAGCTCCTTCTGGAAATTTAATAGGAAATACTGGTCAATCCCAAATCTCAAATCAGAAATCCTCAAAGAAATCAAAAATATACAAGATATTAACAACTGAGACTCCTACAAAACTATCTTCTAGTCTATATGCAGAGCCTTTAAGCAAAAACTAGTACCAGAAAAAGCTATACAAGCTATCCATAAGAGATTAACTGTAATCAATAACAGGATAGCTAAAAACCCAGTTCTAGCAGACCTTCAACCTTCAGCAGAGAATCTTAAATTACAACTACAAGATGAACTCACACTTTTGTCAGAGAAATAGCAAATCAGATCT